CATCAACTGAGATTACCATGTGTGTTGTTCTCCCTTTATTCTATGAATATGATTTATAATATTGATTGGTTTTTCTTACCTTGAACCTCCCTTGCATTCCTGGGATAAATTCCATTGGTTGTGGTGTATAATTTTTTTAATGTATTGTTGGATTCATTGCTAGTTTTTTGTTGAGGATTTTTTTTTCATCTACATTTATAAAGGGATATCAGTCTACAGTTTTCTTTTTCTCCTATGTCTTTGTCTGGTTTTGCTATCAAGTAATGGTGGTCTCTTAGAATGAGTTAGAGGAAGAATGTTCCTCATCTTATGTATTTGGAAGAGTTTAGGAAGGATTTTGTTAATTCTTCTTTAAATGTTTAATAGAATTCACCAGTGAAGCCATCCCAGAGTTTATTGGGAGGCTTTTGATGACCAATTCAATCTCTTTCCTTATTATAGATCTATTCATATTTTATAATTTTTCATGATTCAGTCTTGGTAGGTTATGTTTCTAGTAATGTGTCTATTTTATCAAGGTTACCTATTTGTTGGTGTGGTAATTAGTTTTCTTGGCCACCATACCTTACCACCAGTGATTTAAAACCACAGAAATTTATTCCCTCACAGTTCAGTAGACCAGAAGTCTGAGACCAAGGTATTGGCCATTTTGATTCTTTTTAGAGGCTCAGAGGAAGAGATGATCCCACACCTTTCTCCCAACTTCTGGGAGGGGAAACATCTCAAATCAATAACTTAACTTTATACCTTAAGGAACTGGAAAAAGAACAGACTAAAACCCAAGCTTCTCCTCCACTCTAATCTTCATCATTTCCTTTCTTTTGCTAACTTTCCTTTCAGTTTGCTCTTCTTTTTTAAATCCTTTATGTATAGCATGAAGTTATTGATTTGAGATATTCTCTTTTAAATGGAGGCATTTATGGCAATAAGTTTTTGTATCTGTGTTTTCATTTTTATTCACCTAAGTATTTTCTAATTTCCCTACTGATTTCATCTTTAACCTATCGGTTATACAAGAAGTATGGTTTACTTTCCACATATTTGTGGATTTTCTACTTTTCCTTTTGATACCAATTTCCAGCCTCATGCTACCCTTTGTAAATATCTTAAGGCTGGAGGTTTAGCAGTGACTTTTACTGAAATTTAGCAGTTTCTCTCTTTATTAAGCACTCTCCTGGCCGCTAAGTTGTTTGTTTTTTAACTAAATCTCAAAATTCTGAGAAAGCCAAGTCTGTCATTTTTTGCTTATTGGTTGCTTCAGTGGAAGGACAGTTCTCAGCATCCCCAGCTCTACCGTTTCTCTGATGTCATCCACCTCCTGTGGTGACCTTACAGATGTCTGTTCCCTGACTTCCTTCAGAAGCGTTCCCTGCGGACTCCTGCTTCCCACTGTTAGACCACCTTTTCCAAAGGAGAATCACCGAGGACAAAGCCCACAAACACAAAAGGAGTTGGTTATTCAGGTTTATTTTAGTCCGGCTGGATGCCCCCCCCCCCCAAGTACCCAAAGAGTCCTCAGAAGAGTGCCCCGCCGAGCCATAGCTCAGGGTTTATATAGGGAGAGGGGCGAAGCCAGTGTACAGAAGCGAGAGAATTTTGCGGTTAGAGGTGGAGGTTGCATAACAGTTGCTTGAAGAACATATTTGACCATTCTAATCACAATGTTTACTAAAGATTCACATCTCAGGGGCTTGCTGCAGCCAGGAGGAGCTAGGTTGCTCAATCCCTGACCTTTTACCTGAATAGAGTTTGAGATCAAACAATGGTTGGTATCCTCATTTGAAAGCCCCTCACCTTTTGGCCCAAGGGAGTTTTTACACCCCTTCTACACTAAATGCCCTTTCCTGGGTCCCCTTTCCACTGCACTTCCTCAAGACACATAAGTTTTTCTCTGACGTGATCTGGAAATGAATGTATTCTGAGCATCTTGACATTGGTTTGAGATCTCTTTATTCATCCCCATTAAGTACTCGATAAATAAAAGTTGCATGACTGAACAAAGAAGAAACAGATTTAAGTTCTCATGAACTTCTTACAGAGCCTCTTTAGAGGTTATAGATTGTGTAAAAAAAATTAAAATTACCTAACATGAAACTACTTTGAATGTAATCTAATTTTTCTTGAGGGCCTCAGAAGGCACTTCAGAATTTTATGATATGTTAAGATGATGACTAGAAATATCTCATCATTTCATACAGCCGTAGATTAGAAACTGTGGAGAATAGCATGGAGTCTTGCTCAAAACACGTTTTTAATTTGTTAAATAATTTACTTACATTAACTTGTTTATCTTTTGGGAACAGAAGACAAATAGATTTATTGGATTATTTTGGCTATATGATTTCCATAGAAACAAGCACTCGCTAGGTATATGTTCATTGTGTATAAATATAGATTTATAACTTTGACATGTCTTATTTTCTAAAAATATTTTAAGTAATAGACTTGTTTTACATTGGATACTATTAAAAATAGCTAACATGAACATTAATGCATAAACGATGGTCCAGATACAAAAAATCTTACATATATTAAGGATGTGAAATGAATTTCAATTTTTTGGTTATGGGTGTGCTATGCCTTAAATCACTTTTAGAAAATGTAAGAATTACTTGCTATAACATCCTGATACATGTGATGAAGCCAGATAAATAAGTCTTATTCTTCTCTCCCAATACAGTTTTATTAAGGGTTCTTTTTATATTTATTACCATGTTTCAGAGTATCTTGCTTTCACCTTTTAAAAAAGAAACAAACAACAATGAGAGAAAACCACAAGGTTGCAAAAGCTCAATTATTTCTATGTTATTTTATTTTTCCGTTATTTTACAAGAAAGCTTAGTTATAAATTATATGATTATTAAAACTAGTCAATTATAATGCCAACTATAAAATGATTATTAATGTCATTATATATAAACATCTTCAAAAGAAATTAATAGAACTAAAACCAAGATGCAAGGAACTGATATTGGAATCTTACTTGGTAGACTCACAAACTTGTGTCCATCTTTTCAATAGTAGGATAATGGAGTAGGAACCATTGACTATCCAGCCCCCTACCCCCCCCCCCCCGCCCAGTGTTGTGCATTCTTGACAAAGGGACACTGGTGGTGAAGGACAGTAAAAGTTAGGTGACAGCACAAATAAATATTCATACCAAGTGGATACCACTTTTATACACCTCTCAACTTACTGATTTACCTAAGTTTATTTCCCAGTCTACTTTCTTTTTTTTATTATTTTAGTGTTAATTTATTTTTGAGAGACAGAGACAGAGAGCAGGGGAGGGGCAGAGAGAGAGGGAAACACAGAATATGAAGCAGGCTCCAGGCTCTGAGCTGTCAGCACGGAGCTCAATGTGGGGCTTGAACCCACGAACCCAGAGATCATAACCTGAACCAAAGCCAGACACGTAACTGACTGAGCCACCCAGGTGCCCTTTCCCGGTCTACTTTCAATATCTAAGAAGTTACAGCTATGTTTTTCAAAAATAGTAAAATATCCACATTAACTAAAAAAATTTGACATCTTGTTTCTCAACATGGATTTTATTCTTTATTTTTGCCAAATGAACACATTCTCTTTAGTGAGAAAATTTTTGTCTAATAGTTTGCAATTCTTTAAAATTTGCCACACTATATGTTTGAGATATTACTCCATTCTAAATTTTAAATGTGAGTTTTTAGAACTCCTTAATTTTGTTTTCGCTAAACATAAACTTTATTTACTAACTCAGAATTGTTTTTAATGTTGCATATTTTCTGAGAACCGGCTGGTGCATGATTTTAGATCTAAGTCTTGTTCCAACCTACTGAGGCTGGAATACTAGTATGGATACTACTCAGAAGAGCCTCACCATAAATTTAAAAACAGATAATGTATCTACTAGAAAGACTAAAATAAGAAACAGTGATAATACAAAACACTGGCAAGGGAACCTGGATATCTCACACACTGCCTGTGGAAATGTAACATGTTAAACGCCCCTTGGAAAATAGTTTGGCCATTTCTTACAAAACTAAGCATGCACTAACCATGTGACCCATCAACTGCACTCTTGAGCATTTATTCCAGAGAGATGAAAAATTATGTTCATGCAAAAACTTGTGCATGAATGCTCATAGAAACATTATTTCTAATAGTAAAGTACTGGAGCAGCCCAGATAGCCTTCAGTGGATGAAGAGTTAAATTCTGTTACATCCAAACAAAGGAATACTTCTCAGTAATGAAAAGGAATGCAGTGTATAATACACAGAACAACTTGGACCTCACGGGCATTATGCTCAGTTTAAAAAAAAAAGTGAAGCTCCAGAGAGTACATATTATATGATTCCATTTATATAACAGTCTTGAAATGATAAAATTATACAGATGAAAAATAGATTATTGGAAGGTGACAGAAACAGAGGCTAGGGTGGAGGGAGCACAAAGGAGCTTTTTGTGGTGATGAAAAGTTCTTTATGTTGATTATGGTATCATTGCACAAATCCGTGCATGGAATAAAATTGCACAGATGTGTGCGTGCACACACACACACAGACAAATAAATGGAGGTTGAAAACCTCATGGACACTGAAGAAGGGCTACAGACCAGTTCATGGTAACATACTAGCATCAATTTCCTGGTTTAGAAATTCCTACCACAGCTATTTGAAATGTCACATCAAGTGACATTGGTGAGTGAGGCATACCCAGGACTCCACTCTTTCTGCATCATCTTGTGGTCTGTATTGTTTTAAAAATAAAAAATATTTTATTTTTTGTAATTGCTGTAGAACAATTATAAAACAGTATTCAATGGTTAGAAATATCCTTCACACCATTGGCATTTAAAGCAACCTTCTTTTCAGAGGCTTACTTCTAAGTCTTCAGTTTGAAGTGATGATTTCTTTTTTATTTTAATTCAAGCATGCAGTTGTGTCAATTCAAAAACTATGGGTCTGTGAACATGAAAGCTTAAACTTTGATACTCCACACTCCTTTTCTTCTTCTCCAGATGCCCTTTATTTGACCAAGAGGGATGTCATTTCCGAAGGTACTGAGAGAGCCACATTTAACGTGAACAACATTGTTCTTGTAGGTTATTAAGGCTGTTCAATTTTCTCTGTTGGTCGCTACCCTGAGTTGGAGAGGAGACTCTTCTAAAATGTCAGACTGAAAATTGTACTGGTTCCAGCACAATTAAAAAAAAAATAAAAAAAGCTTAGGAATTAGTGCGATCAATAGCCTCTTTGAAAACAAACTTTAAAAGTAACAATTGAATGCTAAGATGTATAAAACGGTTTTTTCCTTTTTTCCTTCAATCTCAAAGTGGCCAAGAAATTGAGGAACACACTAGAGACTTCAATTCACAAAGCACTTCCTGAGGGCCGAAATCATAATCACAATGCCTTTTAATGATGTGCATGTTTTGCGGACCGGTGCAGGTTATAAAGGTGACAGAGTCCCTACTGCCTAAGAGATCTCAAATTTGCATCCCAGGTATGGACACAGGCTCTACATTGATCCTGGAATACTGAGTGAGAACAAGCAAAGCATCCTACAATACCAATAGAGAGAAAACCAAAAATCCAACACAGTCTGAGGATGCAATTGCTTAGCCAGGTCAGGTGAGAATAGAGTTGGTCTCTGGAGAAAGGCATCAGGGTCATGGCTGAAGTCACAAGACTATGGAAAACAAAATTCTGTTGACACAAGTTTGTAGGATTGCAACCATATCAAATACGTAAAATGCATAAGAATTTGAAATTCCACATAAATTTTGTATGGAGGATACAGAATTATTTTCTCTATTTTCTGTGACTGGCTATATATAGATAAAAGATATATAAAGATATATATATAGATAGATAAAAGAAATTTTTAAGACAGTATTGTTCAGTTGTGGGTAGAATTTACCATATTCACAAAATAGCCTATCTGGAGAAGATACCATGACACAAATGTGCGCTCAAGTTAAAAGTCACCAGGCTTCCCTGGGTAGCTCAGTCAGTTTATGTTCCCAACTTGGGCTCAGGTCATGATCTCACAGTTCATGGGTTTAAGCCCTAGGTTGGGCTCTATGCTGACAGCTCAGAGCCTGGAGCCTGCTTTGAATTCTGTGTCCCTCTGTCTCTGACCCTCCCCCACTTGCACTCTGTCTCTCTATAATAAATAAATGTTTAAAAAAAATTAAGTCACCAGACTCCTCAATTTTGGTACCATTTTTTTTGTTTTCATTTGTTGTTAGAAAGTAAATTTTAAAATTAATGGATATTAAACCATTCTCTAAGTATTTTTATAAAGTAAGGCCAATTATATTTTACTTCACTTATTTGATTTGAAGTACTTAATACACTAACTTTCTATTGTTGATCTTTTTAATAAAATCCTCTTTTATCAAAGCCAACATTAACCTACAAGGAAAAGTAAAAACCAAAAGGATATTACTTTGAATGCATACAAAGTAAAGTGATTAATGGGTAGATAGAAGGATGGGTGGATATTCGAAAAAGCAAGTATAGGAAAGTGGAGAATCTAGGAGCCAGAGTATTATACATTATAACAGCCTTTCAACTTTTCTGTGTGTTTGAAAACTTGTATAACATTTTGGAAATAAAATGCAAACAAATTCAAAAGAACCACCAGAGTCTTCAGTGCCTCAATAAATAAATAAATAGCTTTGTTTTCTGAAACAATGGATTAAGCCATTTGGCAGTATATATCATAAAAGTAAGGAAACATTACAAAAAACAAAGCCTTGCGTTGAAAACCGCAAACGTGTAGGAAGACAAATACCCTGTGGTTTCACTCATATGTGGAATCTAAAAAACAAAACAAATGAATAAACAAACAAACAAAAAGCAGAATCCTACCTATAATGACAGCGAACAGATGGTTCCCAGAAGGCAACAGGGAGAATGGGCAATATGGGGGAGGGGGAAGGGAGATACAGGCTTCTAGTTAGGGAATGAATAAGTCACAGGGATTAAAGGTACAGCATAGGGAGTGTAGTCACTAGTATTGTAATAGCGTTGTGTGATGACAGATGATAGCTACACTAACAATGAACACAACGTAACATATAGAGAGGTTGAATCACAATGTTGTACACCCAAAACTAAAGTAACATTGTGTGTCAAATACACTGAAGTAAAAAAACAAAAACTAAAAACTAAAAACAAAACAAAATGCAAATGTGGTTTCTAGGCAAAGGATGAAATGACAGAGAATAGGTAGAGTAGTGGAAAGTACCTATTTATGCAGAACTACCCTTTATTGGCACACCTTTACATTGATGTTATGCTTTGTCAATACCTAAATGTCCTTGACACATAATGGGCCCAGCTCTGTGTGATAAGAGTGTTGTCTCCACGAGATCCAAATGACACAAGTTAGGCTTGTCCTCATGTGTGTAACACAAGAACAGCATCACTTGGCTAATTGACGAAAACACCGAAATTATGTGGAACCAACCAAATAAATATGGTAATAATTTTGCGACTAGTCATAAAAAAGACTTTTCAGTTGTTGGTTCGTTTTAAATAGTCTTTCCTCTTGAAGTCAACTTAGAATTTTCAGTGAGTCCAGAGGAGATTTTAGTGGCTTAGAACTGATGGACTCAGCTTTTCTCATTCAAGGCAAATGCCACTCCATCGTTGGTTGAATTACTTCAAGGATTTCTCCTCACATCCACACTGGGGTCCATTTTCCACAAAGTTCCCAGAACTGCAAAGCTTCAAATGCCTGAAGACATTGCCTTGGCAGTTTCATTGCTTCGAAGCAGGACTGGATCTTAGAAATGCCAGACAAGTTGCTATTGATCCTTTTTAAAAAGTTAGGTACAAAGGAAGTGTATCTGCCAGCCTCCTTTAGAAAGAGGGTCAAATAACCAGTTGGAAAATTTTCTAAAGGTGTCACATTAAACTTTAATCATACCTACATTTTCATGGAGCTTTTAACTTGGCAAATTGCTTTCATGTGCATTATGTCATTTCACGTTCTATTGCAATGAAACAGTGTCCAGGTTTTAGGGCCGAATTACGATGACATAGATATCCAAATGTTGATGGGGACCTTTGATGAAAATTGATTATTATGATGTCGACCAAGTCGACAGGAATGGACTGGCTTCGAGCTCAGGCACTACCAAGGGTTAAGATTCTACTAGTGTCTTTGCTCTACTGCGGGAGGTTTTCAAAGTCATTTCTCCTTTTTGTTTTTTTGTTTTGTTTTTGTTTTGTTTTTGTTTCAAGGAGAAAATGAGTTACATCTTTTACTTCCGTCCTTCTTATCTCTGATTTTTTTTCTTCTTGTGCATCAATCTGTAGGTCAGCCCGGCCCCGGGTTGCCTTCGAGCTCTCATGAAGATGCTGTACTGCCCATATTGCCGGGGCCTTCCCACCGTGAGACCCTGTAACAACTACTGCCTGAATGTCATGAAGGGCTGCCTGGCCAATCAGGCTGATCTGGACACGGAATGGAATCTGTTTATAGGTAAGGAGGCTTTAAATGCATCTGAGACCTAGATTACAAAGACTTAGGTAACCAGAAGGAGATGTGGGAGAGGCCCACGTTTATGGGGCAGGTCCAAAGTTGTGGCGATTCCGATGCAAAAGAGGATTAAATGTGAAAACAAAAACAGAAAACAGCTTTTAGCAAATTATAAACAGGACCCTGCATTTTTCTTCTTTTTTGCTTAAATCCTGAAAAACAGGGTACCCCGTATGTTTGCGAGGGCCGGTCCTGGTAAAGATGGCACCAGCCAGCCGTAGTGAATTAGCTGCTCTCTCTGACAAAGATAAAAGTACTCTTGTTGAGTCTCTGTGCGTTCCCATGGAAAGGGACAAGTTAGGGGGGGAAAATCTCCTTAAAAAGAAAATCCACAACACTAGTTCTTATTTCTAGTACCTCAACATTGTCACAAATAGTAGTACAACACTCCTTCCTTAGATATCCATGATGAAAATAGCTCAGTATTTTTGCAAAAATATGCAAATCTTCCTTGTTCTGTGGCAAAGGGGGCGTCCAGTGTGCTGGCTGAGACAGACAGCCTTCCTGCCTTTAGAAGGTAGGATGGAAGGTGAGGAAGAAGTAGGGAAGGTCTGTGAGTCACGGCTCTGGTCTTGAGTTGCAGAAATCGCTCAGGAGGCAGTGCGTGCTGCCAAAGGATATTTCCCAAATTGCTATCCAGGGATTAAAGGACACATTTTACAGGCTGGATTCTTCCTGGAAAATACACAGGCCTTGAAAGAGTAAATGTGTTTTCTTCCCCTCTGACAAACGGCCTTCAAATAAAAGTACTTTCAATTGTATTTACTGCAATTTCGTGGTGACAGGAAGAGTGTGCACATCACAACGCAGTTCCTCAGCTTCGGGGGTGGGGATGGCTCTCATCGTTTATGCAGACCTCTAAACCAGAAGGCATGGCGTCAAGTCTTCTGACATCTAAGATTGGGGTAGGGTAGGAAAAAGATCTAAGATGGGTTGGAATGCGGCAAACCCTAAGCTCATGGTGCAAAAGATGGGATTCAGTTGCAAGCCTTGCCCTTCCTTTGTCAGTGAAACCCAGCTAACACGCTATTATGCTTAGGAAGGACAGGGACAATGGTTTGGAAGTTTTAAAAAACGATTTTAGAGTGGGTAGATTCCAACGGAACTCATCTAACAAAATCCCAGAGGGGCGCCTGGGTGGCTAGGTCGGTTGAGTGTCCGACTTCAGCTCAGGTCATGATCTCATGGTTCGTGGGTTCGAGCCCCACATCGGGCTCTGTGCTGACAGCTAGCTCGGAGCCTGGAACCTGTTTCAGATTCTGTGTCTCGCTTTCTCCCTGCTCATGCTGTCTCTCTCTCCCAGAAATAAATAAAACATTAAAAAAAATATTTTTAAATCCCAGAAATCATTTCAGGGAGAATAAATTGAAATGCTGTTCTCTTTCCCTTTAGTGGGAGTACAAAATCTGTTTGCATGATCTTGGGTTACTTTATTTGAAAAATGAGGAAGTGTTTAAAAAGTTTAATCATTAAGGTACCCTTCTAACTCAGAAATGATATGATTCTTTGCTAAGATTTTGGACGGGAGTATGAATTTTTTAAAAAGGTAATAAGAATAACTCGATCTTCTAAAATATGAATTTAGATTAATTTTGGCAAAGACACTCTCCAAATAATGCTAATTAAAAAGTACTCTCATCAAGAAATCTAAAAATATTGCCACATTTTAAAACCAGATTAAACCTCATTGCATCGCTTTGAGTCATCTAGATTGTTCATGTGTTTTGGTTGAAACTACCCTAATTTATAGCGCAGTTAAATTGTCTTTGCCCAGCCTGCACCTTATTGAGGAAGGTGGACATGTGGGTTTTGTTACTTTGAGCAGGACGTGATCACTAATGAGACTATAAGGCTTTTAACTTAGAAGAGCAGCCGCGACTCCCTTATTGGCTTTTTCTCTTCAGTGCTCGTTGGCTACTTTAACATAAAACAAATCTTTATACCTTCAATCAGATGGCTTTCCTGGATGCCAATTAGATGTGAAATTGAATGTCTAGAAAACCATTTGATTTGAAAACCAAAATCTGAACCCACCATGTGTTGGATGTACTTTAATTAAAAGAGAACCTGGTGGTTACTCCTACATGAATATATTTCATATACCCTTTGCTCCCATATCTCATTTTTTATTAGTCTTGGATATCAGTGAGAAAATTCTTCCTTTTTTCTTTCCTCTGGTTCTGCTCAGGGACTAAGAATTGACCCCAACATAGACTTTTGGAGCAAAATATGTTCTTGCTGATACTTGTCCCGATGTGAAGTATCAGTTCACAAACTTGTTACATAGATCAGGCAAATGTGCCACCTCTGTTTTCCACATAGGCATCCAAGATGACAGTGTCACAGGGTTCACGAATGCAGCAGGGAAGACCAGTGAGCAAATCAATAATCAAACAGTAATATATAAAGCCCTTTCTCTGGTTGGCATCTGTAGCCCATCACTCTTGGACTTCTAGCATTTTTCCATTAGTTTCTTACTCCTGTGCTGTCAGTCACATGTGCCATCTCTATCTGCTGCATTCATGCCCCAGTTTATACATTTTTATGCTTCTTTATTATGTCCTCTTTGTAAATGTTAACAATGGATGCAATCAACGGTCAATAAAGACAAGAATCTAACTTGTGTTACCTTCTCATGATTTTTACTGTTCCACAAATTAATTGAAAGTGAGTTATGGGGTGCCTGGTGTTTCAGTCGGTTGAGCATCCAACTCTTGATTTCATCTCAAGTCATGATCCCAGGGTCGTAGGTTTGAGCCCTGCATCAGGTTCTGTGCTGAGCATAGAGCCTGCTTCAGATTCTCTCTCTCTCCCTCTGCCCCTCTCCCCTGCTCATTCTCTCTCTCTGTCTCTCTCTCTCTGTCTCTCTCTCTCAAAAAGAAAGTGAACTGTAATTACTTTGAATTCAGTTGTTGTGTGGATTCGTCAATAAATAGGTTAATTCACTGACAAAATAAAATGTTCTAAGTGTTCAGCTAAAAACCCCAATGGTATTCCATTCACTTCTGAAGTTCCATAGTTTTTTGATTTTCATTTTGTTGTAATCCTAGACAAAAATCAAGAGTCTGCTTAGGATGCATTTCTCTCATTTTCCTTTAGGAAGCTTAACTTGGTGCCCTGCACAGGGTAGGTGCCCAAAAGATTTTTATAAATTAGCTATGGCAGGAAAAAAGAGCTTTGGATAAAGAGCTTTTTTGTACTTTTGAAAACTTGCCGACAACTTTGAAGAAGATGCTGGCAGACCCATTTTAGAGAACGTGAAAGTCTCAGATCGCCTCTGCCAGAACTTTTCAGCTGCTTTCTAGAAGCCGTAGGATTCCTCAGGGCCAAGACCAGCCCAGCCTCACCTTGCTGCACCTGTGTGGACAGGTGTGCTGGGCTACACCTCTGATGGAAGCAGGACCCGGGAAACACAAGAGTGGCTTGCAGGCGGCTCTCCCTCCTCGGAGCCATGCTTTCTTTTTTCTTTTTTTTTTATGTTTGAAATTCAAATAACTTTTATTTAAATTGAAAAAAATTAAAACTGCATTTATAGTCAAAACCCTTTTGTTATGAAAATGAGTACTTCTGGGTTAAGGCAGAGAGATTTCTAGGTTAACAAGACCAGATTTGACTTCGGAAGAGAGAGCATTGACAGGCGCCGCTTACGCGCTTACCCCAGGTGTTGCTCAAAATTCGTCCTCAGCTTATTCCAGCCTCGCCTTTGAATGTTGCCTGGATGCAAAAGCATTTCCTTGGAAAATGTTTATGTAGATTAAAGTTTCCTAAAGGGCAACAGTTTGAGGGCAGATTTTGTGTTCAGTGATATCCTGTGGTTATTTTGAGTGTTTGGCATTGATATCAATACTGCACAGATAAAAGCTATTCTACTTGACAAGGGGCCATGTTGTAGATTACACCTAGCTCATGAGCACAAAAGTTAAGGCTGAAATTATGTTTATGTGGCTGCAGTAAATCATGCATCTACTTTAAAATCTAGGGTATGTGTGATAGCCTCCTCCAAACATCTGGTACCTTCTAAGACTTAATAGACTGTAAAAAATGGACAAAGAAAACAAGTGTGTGGGAAAAAATGTGCTGATGAGACGACAGGCAAAAAATTCTGTTTGTTTTGTAATATTTTTTTAATCACTGAACTACTAGAGGATGTTTATTACTGCAAGTATAAGAGAAACTTATCACTATAGTTTCGTAAAAGTGAGACCTAAAGATGTTTGTGTCCCAACCTTGCAGCCTAATAGTTTAGACTGTCACAGTTAGCCAGACTCTAGTAATCTTAACCTATTAATTGAGCTCGCCATATTGAATAAGCTAGACACATGCTTTTTTTTATGCTGGGGGAACTTAATGTAGTTACATTAATTATAATCATCTGTGATAAAGTGTTAGGAAAATAGAAGCACAGGATGATAAGTAACTACTGAGCAGGAAGACTTAATCTAGTCCAAGATGTCAGGGAAGCCGTACCTTGGTAAATATAGAATAAAATAGTAAATAAGACTGTATTGAGTTAGTGTTGTCAAACAATTGACGATGTTGAATGGCCATAACATACAGAATTGCTGGAATACTGTATAGGCCCCAAATATTTACAAGTTGCCTATGACAATTTCAATGGGTCTAGTATGATTGGTCAGTGATTCATAAATACTTATTTGATTTATTTTTTAAATGTATTGTGATCAAGTCTCATCAAGTCAGTGTTACAGACTGGAACTGAGAAGACTCAGAGAATTTGTGTTAATTTTTGTCAAGAGAAGATTCAGGTCCCTGATATATAGATACTCTCCAATGTAAAAAGGAGAAGAAGGAGGAGGAGGAGAGAAGGAAGGAAGGAAGGAAGGAAGGAAGGAAGGAAGGAAGGAAGGAAGGAAGGAAGGAAGGAAAGAAGGAAAGAAAGAAAGAAAGAAAGAAAGAAAGAAAGAAAGAAAGAAAGAAAGAAA